GCGCGACGGGAGTTCGATTCCTCCGGACTAGAGCATCTACGCGGCCACCGGAGTCCGTTTCTAGCGTCGGATTAGACGGAGACACTACGAGAGAGGCCGGCGACATGCGGGCGCTACCGAGCACGGGCGGCGACGGCGGCGAGCACACAGCGAGCGGCGGCAGCGGTCGAGGCGGCGCCAGCTAGTTACGGGGAGGCTACACCAGCTTCTACCGAAAGCTAAGGGGGGAGGAGGAGCGAGGAGGGAGAACGGGGAGGGCGCTACCGCGTGAGCTGTGACGAGTGGCCGACGGCGTGGGAGTGATCTCTCCGGCCTCGGGCCGGGGAAGAGGAAGAAGACGAGCGCCCGGAGTCCCCTTCCGTGTCCACGAACGTGCCGGCTCCTCCGGCACGCGTGGCAACGAATGGCCGCGGCGAACAGAGCACGGGAGGCGGCGACAATGGAGTGGAGGCGATGGGCGAAACGAGAGGAGAAGGAAGGGAGGGCGCCTGGGCTTTATAGGATGGTGATGTCGATTTGGAAAACGACCTAGGGCGGTCAAGGAGCGAGCTGGCGCTCGGCGCTCGCGGCCAAAATGGCGACAGGGAGGATGACGCCGACGGTGGAAGAGAAAAGGGAAAAAAAGGAAGAAAGAAAGGGGGCTTGCCCCTTGCTTCTTTGGGAAAAGAAGGAGGGAGAGAGGGCGACGCGGCAGGAGGAGGAGGAGCTCAGCCTCCATTCCTTGGAAGCTAGCGCGCGGAGTGGCGGGGCCGGGTCGATGACGACGGCGATGACGGCGGGGCGGTGTGGAGTGAAGCGGCGAGACGGGCGGCAGACGCGGGGCAGGTGCGGCAGGCGCTGACGGCGGCGGTGACCAGGCGGTCGGCCACCACGGCGCGCGCGCGGGGGAAGCAACGGGCGGCGCAGCGATTTAGGCGGCGCCGGCGGGAGCGGCATCGAGAGGGAGCGAGGGCAGAGGGAGAGAGGGAGAAGAGACGAGCTCTCTCTCTCTCAGCGCCCGAGCGGCGCACGTGTCGCGCACGTGCGGGCAAGGATGGAGGGGAAAGGGAGAATGGGCCGAGAGGGAGGGAAATGGGCCAAGAGAGAAGAGATCGGCCCACGACCTCGAGGGAGGCAAACTAGACTTTTTCGAGCTGGTTTGATTTTGGAGGGATTTAGGGTTTGAATTTGACGATGGATCGGGGAATTTAGATCTGGAATGGCATGGACACTAGACAACATACAAGGAAACAATTTTCGTATTTAGGATTTTTAAGGGATAGTTTTCCCACTAGGCGCCACGACGGAACGGGCGGTACACCACGCAATTGCGCCGGCCGCTCAACTAGTTTATCATTAAATGAACTATCATAATATACAACTGTTTTTATTTAAGATATTTTTCTTTTCGTAGATATTGTTGGTCAAAGTAGCATCTCGGAGATCATGTTCAGGTAAAAAATGCTTATATCTTGAGACAAAGAGAGTATATATTAGTGACGCGATGCATCAAAAACTGGTCAATTAAGAGTGTGTTGTCGTGTTTAGTTTCCCCCCTATTCCTAACTTTCCATCACATCATATCACATAAAAAACTTTTATACACACATAAACTTCCAACTTTTTTTTCAAACTCCAAACTTTCTTCAAACTTCTAACTTTTTTCAGGAACTAAACACACCCTTAGTTCACGCTAAAATTGAAAGTTTGATTGAAATTGGAACGATGTGACAGAAAAGTTGGAAGTTTGTGTATATTTAGTTATCGCAAAAAACTTATGTTTAGTTATCGCAAAAAATGGAAGTTTGATTGAAATTAGAACGATTGGACGAAAAAGTTAGATGTTTATGTGTGTAGAAAAGTTTTGATGTGATGAAAAAGTTAAAAATTTGTTGAAAAAGTTTGAAACTAAACTCGGCCTAAATAACACCCAAGCACAAGTTCACCCAAGCACAAGTTGAGAGTTTTTCCAGCTGACACGTACTGTTACTCCCACACTCAACCGGATGCCCGTTCACATCCATCGTTTCGCGCTCTTCCATGGCGCTTGACCGGACCGCCCAGGAAACGACCAGTCGATCACGCCCCTCCCGACAAAAAACACTGCTCGCGTTGTCAAATTCTACTCAGCTAATCCCATCTTTTGCAATCATTGTCTGGCAACTCTTAAAACCTTCTCCTTCCGGCCTGTTTGTTTGAAGAAAGTTTTTATAAGGGATTAGGAGTTTAAAGGGATGTGGTTATTAAGTGTTTTGTTTGTTAGGAGACATGTGAATTTTGGTGGGATGGGGATGGGAAATTGAGGAAGGAACTCCCTCCTTTTCAATACCTTAGAGGGACAGGTAATTGGGAGGGAATTCCTCATTTACTTTGACTAAGCAAATCTCAGTCATTCGTAACTAAACTGTAACTAAACTCCCTATCAATTTCAATCAACTGACGAAGGTGATGCTCCATCCCGTGAAGGCTACAGGAAAAACAAAAAGAAACTACTACACCATCACTCGCAAAAATAAATGTTCGGGGGTGGCCAAACTGATACGGATTGGATTGGAAAAAGATTAAAAACGCGTTCGCGAGAAAAGGAAAAAGAAAAAACGATCAGTCCCATATAAAAAAAATGACCTTGTGCTTGCCATTACATTAAAATAAAAAAAATCACTTAGAAAAAATCTAATCCATCCATAAAATTGAGATTATCTAAACTAACAACCAGTCACGGGTGCGATTTCATTACGCGGGCAGCAACAAAAGAGTAACGCTGCCGCAAAAAAAAAAAAACATAAGGTACCATTAAAAAAACAGATTACCCCACACATGATGCGCTGCCCTCCCCCAACCCGATCATACGCCTACGCTCCACAGCCGTATGCGACGTTGGAGTAGCACATACTACTACACAATAGCTAACGCTAGCAACAAGCTAAAAAGCTTCCAGCCAATTAATCTCCTCGTTGTCGCCTCAACCTTCTCCCTTGCATCATCCCTGGCTTCCCCAAGCATTGTCTCCAGCCTCAGTATCCTCTGCGTTCTCTCTTCAACCATTCTCATCGCAGCAAGGTCCGCCCCGTTCTGTCTGTCGGCCGCACCCTCGTTCTGCCGTACTTGTGCACGGACGTCTTCTGCGGACAACTGCAAAACATCTCCCTACACCCAGGTGTTGAATGCAATGCCCTTCGCCCGAGAAAATTGACATTTTGCCATTATCAAAACAGGGTTTCGCTGGAATGTCATTCTCAAAAGTGGTTTCGCTAAAATACCACCTTCAATCAGGGGCAACACACTGTAATGCCATTTCATCCATTTCTTCTCACTTTAATAATTTGTGTAATGTTTTTTCTTGCTGAGATGACCAAAATGCCCTTGGATGGTCTCATCTCTCCCTCTATCTCTTCCTCCTATCCATTGCAAATGGTGGGCAACGCCGGCGGCGACGCGGCTGGGGATGAGGACAGCAGCGGCGGTGCCGTCTCCGTCCCCAGCTGCGCCGCCGAGCCGAGCAGCCTTCCCCACCCACGTCGATGCCATCCCCGTCCCCGTCTCTCTCTCTCCATCTCTCCCTCCGACTCGTCGGATCCCTTTCATCATGCTGCTTTGCTTCCTTGTCAGGCGAAAGTCTAGTCTTGGCTCCTTTGAGCCCCGACGGACGGCGGCGGCGGTTTTCCGTCACTTCTCTTCTTGAAGACGTCGTTTTGGCATCCCTTAGCCAAGCCTCTCGATCGGTGCAAGCATGCTGTAGGAGTTGGCTTTGTGTTGGTTCTGAGGGTGTTCTTTTGGGCGATCTCGTATGTGTTCCTTTATCATCTAGCGGCGGTCGGTCACGATTAGCGGCGGTCGGTCCGGTGTTAGCCTTCTCCTGCGGTTTTGTGTGTTGGCGCTGTCAGTGTGTGGGTGGCGGTATTTTTTTTCTTTTTTTCTGGTTACGACCTTCCAGGGTTGTAATCTTGTAATTTTTTCCTACTCTATCAATAGAATTTCGCACCATCTTATGTGAGTCGTTCAAAAAAAAAAAAGAAAAGCTTGTAGCCCTCGTCGGCATGAAGCATATGAAGGAAGCAGGAGCTAAAGCCACACTAGATGTGCATGTTTCATTGAATCAATTGGCAGCTAGCTGGGAGGAATCGTTGAAGGTTCTGATAGATGCGTGGATTTGGGGATTAATTTTTTCACCTGTTTTTCTGTTTCTTTTTTTCTTATTGATGTATGCAAGTTGTTCATAAAAAACTGGGTACTGTATTGATTTCTTGGGAGGATTGTGATAAAAAGCCAAAGATTTCTTATCCACTACATTGATTTCATTCCGAACCCAGTGACGCCGGCGCTGCCCACCAACTGCAACGGAGAGGAGGAAGAGATAGAGGGAGAAATAAGATAGGATCCAAGAGTATTTTGGTTATCTCAGCAAGAAAAAACATTACAAAAATCATTAAAGTGAGAAGAAATGAATGAAATGGTATTACAACGTGTTGCCTCTGATTAAAGGTGTCATTTTAGCGAAACCACTTTTGGGAGTGGCATTCCAGCGAAACCCTGTTTTGACAATGGCAAAATGTCAATTTTCTTATATATCGAGAAAATAGTTGCCTGCAGATAAAAGTGGAAAATCCCATTTCCTTCACTATCGGTACGGGGTGTGTCGTACGGGAGTGCTGCAGTAAGCAGATGCGTTTACATAGCTTATGTCTCCTAACCCCTGTACTGTCGCGCACGCATCTTAATTGGGATCGTTGGACGGCCAGGATTCATGGAGCATGTGAACCTCGGTTCACATATGCATTTCCCCACACACGCGCGCGCGCGCGCGCGCAGGTGTACGTACTCCTGGTTCCATCTACCGTCCGTTCGCAACCAGCCGAGATCGATTATGCTAGCGGATCCACATACCGACCCGTTTTCATTTTTATCGTGAAAAAAAATCGTGGTAAAATTTGTATCCCGCACAAATCGCAACCAGGCTGAATACTCGCATAAATATCTCGTTCTGAATCTTCTGGTTTAGTGCTAAACCGAACTATAAATCAACAGATCGGTCCATAGGTGAGAGTGCGATATACGGGCAATTTGGAGGCGACGGCGACGGCGATGCGATCCATCGGCGAGGGCGTCTCAGGCCATGGCGGCGAGTAGCAGAAATCCATCAGCAAGTCTGTGCGCTGGTGGCATCGAATCCATCGTCGAGACGTCGATGCAGTTTGTCCACCTGCCGGCGGCGTGATTCCATCGACATGAGCAGCTTTTGCACCATTGGGATATTCCCAGGTGATTGATTCCCGTTTTTCTCTCGTTCTGTATTTCTTGCAGATTGATCAAGCATTGATCTCTTTCTTTTTATTGCAGATCGATCAAGGTATAAGCTCCTCTCTTTCTTTTTATTGCAGATCGATCAAGGTATAAGCTAGCATGCAGGTCGCCAGCAGCGTCGTGATCCATCGGCATCGATGGCGGCGATTAGATCGATGTCCACAGCCATATTGCGCGCAGCCCATCGGCAAAGCCGAAGGCGACGACCAATCCATCGGCAAAAAGCGGTGCTGGAGACATCACAGCACCCGCTTACAGCATCGGCAACAGCGAGCCCCCTCGAAGGCTCCAACCGAATATCACGGCAGATCATCCAACGAATATATATACCAGGATTTGCCTGGTAGAAACACAAGCTTTTCTTCAAATTATAGTATCAGTATGTGCACATCAGCACATGTATCGATCTAGTTTCCTGCACATACATCATCATCTCTTCTTAATTATACTCCATTAATCTCTTCCTGATTAGTGATTACTATATACTACTACGAGATCAACTAATTTCACATTATTTGTCAATATTACATACTACTGTGAAAAGTGTGTATATATGCAATAGTTAGGAACAAACCCAACGAGTATAGTCGAGTATGGCCAGTTTTGGAAATACATGCTGCTCTTCTGAAGCTTTCAAAATTTTGGAAATACATGCCGCTCAATTTTCTGAATCTTTGAAAATGCATGTATACTGATACTTTTGCATCTCATGAATGCAGCCGGTACTCTGTACAGCTACTGTGTAAAATCAAAATAGATAACAAAGTTTCCAATTAATCATGTTGGGATTTCTGACACTTCCTTCCACTCTATGTCCATCCGGCACTGAAACATGCCGACGACGGCGATGCCGTCTTCTCTATGTATCTAGGATTGATGATTCTTGTTTTCTCATAATCTTAGTTGTAGTATCTAGTTGTATCTTTGTACTGGCTTCTTACTTTGACCGAGTACTCAATGGTTACATAAAGTTCTTGTCATCAGTATGATTACATACTGCTTGTTCTTCTAAAGCAGTATGTCTGTTTTTTTTATATACTGTTTTTTACATCCCTGATATATTGACTGGTATATAATGTTCTTTTTAATCGCTGATACTACTACTATGTAAAAAGTAGTATATACTCATTCCAAAAAAAAATCAGTATATACTCATTCCGAGAAAAATCAGTATATATTCATTCGGTCGTTCCAGCAGTATATACTGCACGTACCAATAAAGAGAAAAAATCAGTATATACTCATTAATTCTGAAGTAAGTATATACTGCTGCTAACAAAAAGAAGTATACATTGCTACAACAAAAATATAAGCTGGTACTCCTAACTATGTACTGCTAATACATAAAAAAATAGTATATACGACCGCTCATCACTAGAAATAGTATATATACTGCGGCCTTAAAAACAGTATACACTGTTGCTAATTAGAAAATGGGGATATCCAGGTGCGTTCAAATTTGAAAGCAAATGCATGCCAACACTCTTCTTATCTGCATCAAATCCGGTGTGTACCTATGTCACATGCATGCAGTGATTTCGAAACTAATATTTTTATCTTTTTTTATGGCTAATTTAAATGCTAATAGATCATCCATTAATAAAAGAGAGTACATATACAGAAGAGCCAATATATATATATATATATATAGAGAGAGAGAGAGAGAGAGAGAGAGAGAGGAGCCATGAAAAAAAATAAAATTTCCAAATCACCGCATGCATGCGGCCTAGCTACCCAGCGGATTTGGTGCAAATTTGAACGAGGGTGTTGGCATGCATTTGCTTTTAAATTTAATAACGTACCTTAGTTATACTCTCTTTTCTAGTAAGCAACAGTATATACTGTTTTTTAGGCCCAGTATATACACTCTTTGTAGTGATGAGCAGTAGTATATATATACTAGTTTTTTTTATTAGCAGTACATGGTAAGGATTACCTTATATTTTTGTTGTAGCAGTGTATACTTCTTTTTCTTAGCAGTCGTATATACTTACTTCAGAATTAACTAGTATATATACTGATTATTTCTTTTTTTAATGGTACGTGCAGTATATACTGTTGGAACGACTGAATGAGTAGTATATACTGATTTTTCTTGGAATGAGTATATACTGATTTTTTTTGGAACGAGTGATGAGTATATACTGATTTTTTTTTGAATGATTAGAGAAATCCGATTATAAACATTGTAGTATATACTTTTTCCCACTTAGTAGTAGTAGTATAAACTTTACTCGTTTTACTTAATTAGAGCAGCACATACTAATTTTCTTTTGGTTCAGTATATACTGATTTATTCTCCGAAAGAGTATGTACTGATTTCTTTCCCAAAGTATATATATGAATGCACATACACTACTAGAAAACTAATTTTCGCAGGCGGCCAAAACTAATCTTCGCAAACGGGAGGGAGGTCCGCCTGCATCACAACTACTGCGAAAATCATCGATTTTCGCAGTCGGGGCAACGGCCTGCCTGCGAAAATGCAAAAAAACGAAAAAAAAAATCGCCGCACGCCTTGCCACCGCCGCCCTCCCCCGGCCGGATCTGAGAGGGGAGGGGAGCCGCTGCCGCCGCCGCTCCATACCGTCGTCGCCCCGCGCGTCGTCTTCACCGCCGCCCCGCGCCTTCGTCGCCGCCGCCACCCCCGCCGGCCTCCCCCCTCCCTCCTCCGGCCAGATCTGTGAGGGAGGAAGGGAGGGGAGACGCCGCCGGCCGCCCCGCGCCGTCGTCGCCGCCGTCGCCCCCACCGGCCTCCCCCCTCCCTCCTCCAGCCAGATCTGGGAGGGAGGGGGGAGGGGAGCCGCCGCCGTCGCCCCCGCCGGCCTCCCCCTCCCTCCTCCGGCCAGATCTGAGAGGGAGGGGGCAGGGGAGTCGCTGCCGCCGCCCGGACCGCACCGCCGCCGCTCCACGCCGTTGCCGCCGCCGCTAGCCTCCCCCGTCCCTCCTCCGGCCAGATCTGGGAGGGAGGGGGGAGGGGAGCCGCCGCCGCCGCTCGGACTTCGGCCGCGCCTCCTCGCCGCTGCCGCCCTCCACCGCCGCCGTCGGGAGCCACCGCCGGGGAGAGTAGAAGTGAGGGGAGGGGAGAGGAGGAGAGGGGAGGGGAGGGGAGAGGCCGGTGAGGAGAGGTATGAGGGGAGGGGAAGGGAGGAGAGGTGTGGAGCGAGGGGAGGACTGAGAGGTGTGAGGACTTAGAAAAAAATTAGGGCCCGCAAGTCTATTTATATTCAAGTCATTTACGCAGGCGCCACTTAAGTGGTCCGCCTGCGAAAATCAAGCGGGCATCAAATTTCACCCCGATTTATATTTTTGTAGGCGATCATTTGGCTCTAAGGGTCATGTCCGCCTGCGAAAATAAGACCCCCACGCTGGGAAAAATGCTTTTTCTAGTAGTGATATGTACTGCTTTCTGCATACTCTAGTAGCAATGTAGTATATATAGTATGTTCACATACTCTTATAAGTATATACTGTTTACTATTTATTGGAACAGTACGTACTGTTTTGTTACAAGTATATGCTACTTATTCCTTTGAACAATATATACTGTTTTCTTGAATTTTCTGGCCAGTATATACTACATTAGTATTGACGGAGCATATACTAGTTTTTTCTTAATTTGGTCAGTATATGCTGCTATACTTTTGTTCGGTCACTATATACTGCATCTCATCGCTAAAGGAGATAATACTGCTTTCTTGTTTGCTCAGTATCTGCATATACTACTCTTTTTGTTTCTTCAGTGTGTGTGTGTGTGTGTATATATATATATATATATATATATATATATATATATATATATATATATATATATATGTGATGCATATACTGCTTAAATAAGTATATACACTATTTCTTAGATTTAGTAGCATGTACCACTATTACTTAGATAAGCCATATATAGCTTTTCATGTGTGCAGTATTATATGCTTTTTCACGAGCAAAATTTAGAAGTATGATACAAAATTCATCTACAAATACAAAAAAAACAAGAGGTATATATATATATATATATATATATATATATATATATATATATATATATATATATATATGAGCTCATGCTCACAGGATTCAGAATCAACTAGTCGATCGAAAAATAGAGAAAAAGAAATAAGAGGTAGATATATATGCTGCTGAAAAATTAAGAATCTATTCAGTTCTCTGGGAGGTTGGAACAAATGCCTTAGGTGTCGCCTCTGATTTTTGGCAGATCGATATTAGCTCTAAACCTGAAATCAAATAACCATAGACATGGTGCAATACGCGTTTCTACCGGACGTTGTGGCCGTGATTCATTGACTAGACACCATCGTCGATCGAGGATCCGTGTGAGCAGCTGCCATCGTTGGACGGTGTGCCTCAGATTACGGCCGGAAGCCCGGAAACCTCTGCCATGATTGATACGGTTCTCGTACGCCTGGCCCACTGCAAAAGGGGGAAAGGATAGCAGATATTTAGAAGCGACCATGAATCAGAATATCTGGAATCAGAATATATATCTAGCAGTCAGACTTCAAGGATTGGTACCAACAATGAGGAGGACGATCGGCCGATGAACCACCACGCCGTCGTCGCCGGATTGCCTGTAGCCACCGCGCCTCGCGTCGTGGCCGAATCGCCGATGGATCGTGCCGGCATCGTGGCCGAATCGCCGATGGATCGCGCCATGGCCGCACGCCGCTGCGTCTGTATCGCGAGAGATATGTGTCGCTTTAGTGAGAAAAAATCGGCGATGGTTAGTTAAATTATCCCTGGATAATTATGGATTAAATCTTATTCAAAATATTAACGGGCCAGTGCATCTATACCCGTTAGGGGGAGGTTCGATCGGGTAGATCGCTGGTTGAATGGATGAACGGTGGATGGTGGATGGGAGCAGGTGTACGTACTCCTAGGTGTATAGAATCATTTTCCTACACACACTCCGTGAATCCACAAATAAAAGAGGGGAGTACCTATGCATCTTTCAAAAGATTTTTATAACATATCACACAGATTTTTAATCTTTGAATTAAAATCCGATAAGAAAAAATCTTTCGAGTGAGATATAGCAAAATCGGGGAAAAAAAAAGGAGAAAGCTAGCAAGCAGCCCAACCAAAGCAGCAGCAAGGCCGGCCCAACAAAAAGCAAACGCAGCCTAGCAGTCAGCCCACATAGCAAAGCAGCAGCCCATTACAATACTGTAGCACCCAGGAATAAGTTCACTTTAGGTCCCTTAATTTGTCGCCGAATATGAAATTCATCCCTAAATCAAAATCTTAGTTATACCTCATCCTCTAACTTACAATACCATGTCAATTTAGATTCCTCGGCAGTATCGTGGCCAGTTTTAACTGACGTGGCAAGTGGGCCCCACACGGGTCACATGTCAGTGCACAAATAATACCACCTTTTGCCTAGCTTGGACAGAACTAGCTTAAATAGAAGGCTTGCCCGAGCCTACTACACTGAAAAAAGGTTGGATCCACGTCTACCAGGAATCAGATAAAAATAAGGAGCAATTTTATTAATTTAAAAAAATAAAAAATAGATGTCTTTTTTTTAAAAAAAAAGACATGTGATTAAACATGTCTTTTTTAAAAAAAAAATGTAATCACCAACAAAATAAATCATGTTTACATCCAATTTTTTTTCTATTAATTGTATGATTTCCTTCTAATTTTTTGAGTAAAAAAGATTGAAGTGCAGTGAGGTTGATCTGATAGATAGCGAAAAACATTTCTTATACTATTGCTACTCTTTACAATAAGTAAGAAAAAAGTTTATCAATATCAAG